TCACAGGGAGAATTGGCAAGAGTTTCACTAGGAAAGGTTTACAACAATGGTACAATGAAGTTGGCAAGGCAAGACTACATCAGAGCTAGCATGCAAGCAGGACGACTGCCAGTGCAGCACAGTCGACCGTGTGCCAGCACGACTTGGTCGACCGCGCTCCAGCAGTGCAGAGTCGTGGCTTGCCACCGCTGCAAGTCGACGGCGTGCCAGCGTTGCTCCCGCAGTACAGCATCGCACCCGCTTCGCAGGTGCTCGCAGATAATTGGCGTGCAGTGCCTCGTCACCTGCACAGCGCACACACCAAGTCCACTTCGTGCTGACGACAGCTGCTGATCAGCCACGTCGACCTCGGGATACCACCACCGAGGTCGTCCTCGCCAAAATCACCTGGGCGAACGTCGCATGCCTCCGCAGAACCTCGTCACCCAGGTAACCTGGTCGACCGAGCAACCAGGTCGACCAGATGCTCCTGTGCGTGCCCGTCGACCACGCAGGTCGACGACCACTTCCAATCGACCTCACCAGGTCGACCACTGCCTCTGGTATGTGCCGGTCGACCTCCCAAGTCGACAGCCACCTCCAGTCGACCTCCCCAGGTCGACCACTACCCCCTGGTCGACCAGCTCCAAGTCGACGTCACTCCAGGTCGACCAGAAGGTCTGGTCGACTTCCCAGGTCGACCAGAAGGGCTGGTCGACTTACTAGGTCGACCAGAAGGTCTGGTCGACTTCCCAGGTCGACCAGAAGGGCTGGTCGACTTACCAGGTCGACCAGAAGGTCTGGTCGACTTCCCAGGTCGACCAGAAGGGCTGGTCGACTTACCAGGTCGACCAGAAGGTCTGGTCGACTTCCCAGGTCGACCAGAAGGGCTGGTCGACTTACCAGGTCGACCAGAAGGTCTGGTCGACTTCCCAGGTCGACCAGAAGGGCTGGTCGACTTACCAGGTCGACCAGAAGGTCTGGTCGACTTCCCAGGTCGACCAGAAGGGCTGGTCGACTTCCCAGGTCGACCAGCCGAAGTTGGCGCCCTCCCGAAGTCGGCGCCCATGCAGTGGCTCCCCGTGCAGGTCGACCAACCTCGTCGACCAACTCGCCCACTGCTGCAGGTCGGCTGCACCCTACACCCGACCACGAAGTCGGCACCGCCCAAGCGAGGACGGGGCCAACATACAGCTCCCGTTGACAGCTGCTACTGCCGCCTGAGCTGCTGCTGCCACCTGTGCTACTGCTGCTGCACGCGCTGTTGCTAAGCGCGCTGCTGCTGCTAAGCGCTACTGCTGCTGCTGCTGCTGCTGCTGCTGCTAAGTGCACCGCTACTGTTGCTGCTGCTGCTGCTGCTCAGCTGTTGCTGCTGCTAGGCTGCTGCTGCCACCTGTGCTGTTGCCGCCTGCGCTACTGCTGCCCTGCCGAGCCGCCCTCGCTGCAGCTGCTGGCTCTACTGCTACTACTACTACCACTGCTGCTGTTACTGCGCTAGCCCGTGCCCTGCTGCCCACGCACCCTACTGGCCTCCACAGCCACTCCAACTGTCGCTACTGCTGTTACAACCACAGCGACCACTGCTACTGCTACAGCCGCAGCTACAGCAGTCGCTACTACCGCCCTTGCGTCGCTGCTACTGACCGCCAATGCCTGTCATGGCCGCCATCACGGTCGTAGCAGCGTCTAGGGGTGGACAACAGCAGCCACTGCCTCACCCGGACACTCTATCACCGCAGCAGCTTCGCGAGTGGGTTATTCAGTGAGGCCGTCCTGGTGCTGGTGGTTTTCGTGCTGGAAGTGCTGGAGGTGCTAGACAGCAGCGGCAGCCCGCGCACCCGGACACCCTCTCGCCTCAGCAGATTCGTGAGTGGGTCGTTCAGAGAGGCTGTAAAGGTGGTGGAGGTTATGATTTTATGGGTACTAGACAGCGGAGACAGCAGCGTCAGCAGGAGACCTTCTCCCCGCAGCGGCTTCGCGATTGTGTTTCTTAGCGAGGCGTCCCTGGTTGTGTAGAGACTGCTGCTCTAGGTGCTAGTGAGTCAGCTGCCGCTCTAGGTGCTAGTGCGTCTCCTGCCACTGATCCTGCCTCAGCTGAGGCCTTGCACACTTTCACACTTGACTCAGGAGCGTCACGTTGCTTCTTTCGTGATTGCACCACAGTCACACCGCTCGCAGCACCCGTCCCAGTCTCACTGGCTGACCCCACTGGGGGCCCAGTAGTAGCGCGAGCCTCCACTGTCCTCCCGTGTTCGGCAGTCCTCTCCGGCTTTCTTTCCGGCAAGTCTCCACCTCCCCTCGTTCTCGACGAACTTGGTGAGCAACGCAGTCCTTCAGGATATTTGGGCTTATACCTTTATCCCTAGGGGGCAGCGTATGGCGATCTGTACGTTCTCCCGGACTGGACGTCACCTTGCTACGTTCACTCGGCAGCCTGGGTCCAGTCTGTACACCCTGACCACTGCGTCTGCAAAGGTGGCTGCGTCTGCAGAGGTGGCTGCGTCAGGTCAGGTGGCTGCGTCGAGTCAAGTGTCTGCGTCTGGTCAGTTCGCTGCGTCGTGCTCGTGTCCAGTACTCTCCCACCAGACTCTTCTCTGGTACCACCGACTCGGTCACCCCTCTCTGCCGCGTCTCCGCAGCATGCTTTCCCGTCTTCTTGTCTCTGGCCTTCCCAGGTCCCTGCCCCCCCTCCCACGCTCGCCTGTCCCGCCGTGCCTTCCCTGCGTCGAGGTGCGGCAGCACGCTGCTCCTCACTCCTCCTCATTTTCTCCGACCACTGCTCCTCTGCAGACTCTCCACATGGACGTGGACGTGTGGGGCCCAGCCCCCGCAGTCGGACGGACCAGGAGCGCTACTTCCTGCTGGTCGTTGATGACTACACGCGCTACACCACGGTCTTCTCCTTGCGCAGCAAGGCGGCCGTCAGCGGTGTTTTGATCCCCTGGATCCGCGCTACTCGTCACCAGCTGCGCGAGCGGTTTCGGCGGGACCTTTGAGTCCTGCGACTACACTCTGACAGGGGCGATGAGTTCTCTTCCAGCCTCCTTGCGGAGTTCTGTCGAGTTGAGGGCATCATCCAGTCGTTCACGCTTCCGACTTCTCCGCAGCAAAACGGGATTGCTGAGCGTCACAATGGCTTGGTCATGGAGATCGCTCGTACCTCCATGATCCATGTGGCTGCTCCCCATTTTCTGTGGCCGTTTGCGGTCCGATACGCCGCGCATCAGCTCAACCTCTGGCCCCGTGTCTCTTTGCCAGAGACCTCGCCCACACTCCGTTGGACGTGAGAGGTTGGCGATGCGTCGGCGTTTCGGGTCTGGGGCACGCTCTCCCTTGTTCGCGATACCACTGCGAGCAAGCTCTCTCCTCACACTCTCCGCTGTGCCTTCCTGGGCTTCCCCACCGACGCCCCGCCATGACAGTTTTACCACCATCGCTAGCGTCGCGTCTTCTCCTCCTAGGACGTCACCTTTGACGAGTCGGTCTGCTTCTACAGGCTCCACCCGCACGCGTCCCACCTGGTCCCTTTGGCACCTCTCTTCCTGGTACCAGTCCCCCCCTGGTAGACCCCCTCGCCTCACAGGGTCCTGCTCCCTCAGGTGTCTCTCAGGTAGACCCACCCCCCTTGGTTGAGCCTTTGGAGATCTCCTCTGACACCTCTGGCCAAGCTGAGGGGGGTGACCCTATTGCTGACGACACAGCAACCACTCGTCGCTCTCAACGCTTGGAGAACCCTCCTAGTTTTCCGCCTTGATCATCTTCACCCCCTCTGCAGCCTATAGCTGTGGGCACTTGTGCTACTGGGGGTGGTGACACTGGGGGTGAGGGTTCCGGAGGTGCTGAGACTGGGGGTGACGGTTCTGGGGGTGCTGAGACTGGGGGTGCTGCGAGTCCTAGTGCCGGTGGGGCCGTGGGTGCTCCTGCTGCACGTCCTGGCGTCGGACAGCAACAGCCGCCTAGTCGACTCGAGACACCCTCACCGCAGCAGCTTCGTGAATGGGTCGTTCGGCGAGGCCGCTCTGATGCTGGAGCGTGGAGTTTCCTAGACACTGGAGGTGCTGCTGGTGCTGGAGGTGCTGGTGCTGGAGGTGCTGGTGCTGGAGGTTCTGCTGGTGCTGGAGGTGTTGGATGTGCTAGTACTTCTGGTGCTGGAGGTGCTGGAGCTGCTGGTGCTGGAGTTAGTACTGGAGCTGCTGGTGCTAGAGGTGCTGCTGGTGTTGGAGGTGCTGGAGGTTCTGGTGCTGGAGGTCCTAGTGGAGTTGCTAGTGCTGGAGGTGCTGGTGCTGGAGGTGCTGGTGCTGCTGATGCCGAAGGTGCTGGAGGTGCTGTTGGTGCTGTAGGTGCTGGAGCTGCTGGTGCTGGAGGTCCTACAGGAGCTGCTGGTGCTGGAAGTCCTACTGGAGCTGCTGGTGCTGGAAGTGCTGCTGCTGGAGCTGCTGGAGCTGCTGGTGCTGCTGGTGCTGCTGGAGGTGCTGCTGGTGCTGCTGGAGGTGCTGCTGCTGGAGGTGCTGGAGCTGCTGGTGCTGGGGGTGCTACTGCTGCTGGAGGTGCTGGAGGTGCAAAGCCAGAACAGCAAATACAAATAACAATCTTGGGAATACTTTGGCAGCTTATCGAAGAGTCTTTTCACCACTTTACCGCTCAACAATGATCCACTCTACATTACGAAAAAAACCTTCATAATCGTTCCAAGTGCATACATGGTTTTATAGAACATTGCACACAAAAAATACACCTATCATAAGTAGACAAATCTATACAAATCACACATAACTATACAATAATATGCATATAATTCCGAACCTGCTTTGTGCCTTAGGCACCTCGACTTAGCGGCGACTAGGTGAGTAAGACAGCACAGGGACCTTGAACTTAATCCTGAAATGCTTGCACAGCCAAGGGCTGGGGCCAAAGTAGAGATGATCGCCACTGACAGCATAGGGCACAAAGTATCTGCGAGTCGTGTTCAACGAGGCACGTCACGTCAATACGAAGCATTACCAAAGTAGATGCGACAGTTGTTAATGCATCAGCAAGGTATAAGGCATGCTGTACCTGCGAGACAATACAGATAGAGATGCACACATCAGCAAAATCAAATTTCCATACAATAACTGTAAAATGGGCGAAACTTGATGTAGGTAAACAAAGATACGCACTGGTATTTGTCGCCAATACCCTGAAAATCTGCTAGATTATTTGTGCGCTTGTACTTGCAATTTTGAAGGCTTGTTGGTTTTCAAACTCATACAACATATTCTTGCTCGGAATAAGTTCCGCTCACTCAAACACTGCGGTAAGGGATTTAAGAGTACACAATGCAGATCAGAGTGTGTGGATAGGGAGGAAAGGAGAGGAAGAGTGGTGAAAGAAAAGGTGCGAGAGGGAGAGAGGGAAGGAGGGATCAATAGTATTTTTGCAAGAACACATCTCAGGCTGTCACACACTGTTACAGAGTGAAGCTGGAGTACACAAAGGAACAAGACACGAATAGAGACAAAGGGGAGAAGATAAAAGAGGGAAGGAGTGCGAGGGGAAGAAATAAGAGAGCGGAGGAGTGCAAGGGAGTGCCAGGGGAAGAGATAAGAGAACGAGGGAGTGCGAGGGAGTGCAAGGGAAAAAGATAACAGAGCGAAGGGGTGCGAGGGAGTGCAAGGGAAAAAGATCACAGAGCGAAGGGGTGCGCGGGGAAGAGATAAGAGAGCGAAGGAGTGCGCGGGGAAGAGACAAGCGAGCGAGAGAGCGAGAAAGTCGTACCAATTGTTAGTCCGCTTGCCCCGACTGCCCCATTCAGATCCTGCTTGAACTGGGAAATGGAAGGTCTTGCCCCCCTGCAGTAGATAAGGGCAGCGGAAAAGGGTCTTGTTGTTTACGTGCCACAGCGGAAATGCTTTTGAGGCGGCTTAAAAAGGTGAAACGAAAGGTCTCGCCCTTGAGTAGCAAAATGCAACTGAAAGGGTCTTGTCATTTAGGTACAACTTGATGAACACACACGTTCAAGCCAGCTGGGCTAAGCTTGCAACGTGAGGTGACTCAAGGGTTGCCTAAAAAACCACCTTGACTCAAGAGTTGACTCAAAAGCCACCTTGACTCAAGAGTCGGCTCAAAAGCCACCTTGACTCAAGAGTCGGCTCAAAAGCCACCTTGACTCAAGAGTCGACTCAAAAGCCACTTTGACTCAAGAGTTGCCTCAAATGCCACCTTGACTCAAGAGTCGACGCAAATGCCACCTTGACTCAAGAGTCGACGCAAAAGCCACCTTGACTCAAGAGTCGACGCAAAAGCCACCTTGACTCAAGAGTCGACTCAAAAGCCACCTTGACTCAAGAGTCGACTCAAAAGCCACCTTGACTCAAGAGTCGACTCAAAAGCCACCTTGACTCAAGAGTCGACTCAAAAGCCACCTTGACTGAAGAGTCGACTCAAATGCCATCTTGACTCAAGAGTCGACTCAAATGCCACCTTGACTCAAGAGTCGACTCAAATGCCACCTTGACTCAAGAGTCAACTCAAAAGCCACCTTGACTCAAGAGTCGACTCAAAGGCCACCTTGACTCAAGAGTCGACTGAAAAGCCACTTGACTCAAGAGTCGACTCAAAAGCCACCTTGACTCAAGAGTCGACTCAAAAGCCTCATTGATTCAAGAATCGACTCATAAGCCACCTTGACTCAAGAGTCGACTCAAATGCCACCTTGACTCAAGAGTCGACTCAAAAGCCACCTTGACTCAAGAGTCGACTCAAAAGCCACCTTGACTCAAGAGTCGACTTAAAAGCCACCTTGACTCAAGAGTCGACTCAAAAGCCACCTTGACTCAAGAGTCGCCTACCTCGCCTAGGTGCAACCCGAAAAAACTCATGCGTGCAGGCTAGACACGTTGGCTACAGGGATGCAATGTGATGCGTCGAGCCTCACACAGTTGAGCCGATAGGATTGGTGGCTCCAGAAACAAACGCCTCAAAACTTCGTTTCAGGAAGCAAATCGGCATGCTTACATACCTTGGGCTCTCAGGCAATTGAACTGATAGGCTGATGGAGTAGTGGCTCCAAAGAAAAGCGCTTCGAGCCACTTAGCGGGTTCAATTTTGAAAAAGAAAGAAAGAAAGAAAGAAAGAAAGAAAGAAAGAAAGAAAGAAAGAAAGAAAGAAAGAAAGAAAGAAAGAAAGAAAGAAAGAAAGAAAGAAAGTTCAAGATGGAGCCATGAAGCTTTGGTCCCCATTAATAATGTGTTTCAGGGAGCTCTTAGGCATGCTCCCGCGCCTCGGGCTCACGGGCATGCTCACCTCCTGGGGAGTGCGAGTGCTAGCAGGCTTTGCTGGTAGCGGCGTTGTCGTCACTGGCGGTGGCGTTGCTGAAAGCAGCAGTGCCGGGAGTGGAGGGCACCACGCGCACCACTTTTGAACCTGCGGACACACGGAAAACGGCCCGAAATGAGAGATCAGGAGTTCGGCATAGTACATCATACTAGGGGTTGCATGTTTGCTAGTGGGGTATGCTATAAGCGAGGCGGAATGAATGCGAGAGCGAGGAGTGAGAGAGGGAGACGATCCTGCAGAATCAGCCATGGCGACAGAGTCAAAAGCGGCACCACTGATGCCCGATGTGCTACGAACACCACCACTGATGCCCGATGCGCTAGGAACATCACCACTTTTGCGTCCAGCAACACTCCCAAACACATCATTCAGAGCCGTAGTTGATGCCAGCGCAGCTTGGACAAGCGCCAATGCCTGCACGAAGAGAAGCATAAGATGTCATTAGAAGGCGCATACACTCACTAGTACTTCGTTCTGGAACAGAGACAAGATATTTATAACAGCAACTTACTTGGTCGTTGGTCACAACAATCTCTTTGCTTTCCATATCAGCAAAGCTCTTCACACCCATGCTGCTCAGCCCTGTGATGCTCTTGATAATGGAGATGGGGAAGAATTCAAGGTCATCCTTGACCATGAAAGTCACTGTTTCCTTGACAAAGCCTCTGGGAAGCTGTTGTGCCTGAACGTTATCAGCACGAGTCAAACGCTTGTCCAAGGCAACAGAGCAGTCAGGGCACACACTTGTTGCTGTATTTCCCACCCTGTGACGCTGAGCACATGTGTACAACGCCTGTGAAGCATTCAAGTTCTCTCCGCCCATCGTCTTCACCGCCTGGGTCATGATCTGCTGACAGCTGGCACACTTCAGACCTGGAGCTAGCGAGATATACCAATGATTTGCAGTTGGACAAGTATAGTAACCGGCCTCCTGGCAGCGAAGGAATCGCGGTTGAGAGGACAGCTCCGTGGGTGAGGGATTCAGGAGAACATCCTTCTCCACCATCAGGTATGACTTTTCTAGCTTGTCGGTGCTAGAATAAACGTTGAAAATGCCGACTTTAGGACCTTGGTTCAAAACTCTGGTCTCCTTGAGCAGTTTCAGCAAACTCGCAACCGGCATACGAAGGAGTGACATGAGAAGATCGACAAAATCCTTCCCAGCCTCGAGAAACATAACTTGTTTTTCTTCCTGAAATTCAGAACCAACAAACTCATGAAAACTGGGAAACCAAATGGCAGTGACCATTCTTCAGACCGAAGTTGCTCACCTTGCTGATCAGAAGATTGACCTTCATCGACGATCCTGCAGAATCAGCCATGGCGACAGAGTCAAAAGCGGTGCTGCGGAATGACGGATCTGGATAACGAACTCGCAGACGAAAGGAAAAAAAAAAAACTGCTCGGGTGCTTGTCTGTTCGAGTGGGTGTCGTCCTCTTAAGGTGCGTCTTGTCGAATTTAAACAGCCACAAAGGCTTACGAGACGCATTCTGGATCGACTATAAGATACCAGTCGAATGCGCTGGCGTCAATTCGTCAACAAAACAGACTGCTTCGCGACCATGCAGCGAATGCTTGCGTGCAGGTTTCAAAGAAGAATAGTCCCAAGCCTCTTGCATGTGCTTGGGACCCACGGCTACGCTTTCACGCGTCGACATCTCGCCCTTTCACGCCTATCTCAGGCTTTCACACCCATGAGATTCCTGGCTTCACGCCTTACGTTTTCCAGGTCTTGCGGACGGCGATGTGTCGAATGAGGACGCGTCAACTCCCAGCACTTTGGGACAATCGATCCTGTGTAGGATCGATGTGACATATATACAGTACTTTCACGAGCCAGCGAGTATCTTGTTTTCAGTTCTCGTCCGTTTTCGCGAATGTACAGTAAACCGGCTAGCACTTTCTTGTCCCCTCCGGATTTCACCACAACTTGCCACCTGCCACACACCGATCGTAGCATTTCGGTGAGCGGGATCTACAATCGCGCACTTGTTGACAACCGTGATCGATCGGCTCGCAATCGATTCGTCCAGGAAGGACAGAGCGAATAGGCTCTGAGTTGAGGCCACGAAGAAAGCACGAGCGGTTCAGATTCAGCCTGAAGAATGCTAGCCGCGAACCTTTCATTCCCGCAATGGGTCCAGTTTCACGGCAAGCTTTTGCGAAACTCAGTTTGGGCGAATTTTCTTAGCGAGCATCGACGATACATTTCGTCTAGTGTAACTCGTCACTCTTTCCCTTTACATCCCTTCGCGTTCGTTCGCCCCAACCCCAAAACTGTTGTTTTTTATTCGCTGTAACAAAATGATGTTCGCCAACACCTGGTTGGTGAATCCGCAGGCAAATTGGTCCTCCCTAACGACGACCTCCCTGCTGTTTGTTCTTACTTCCGCCATTGTTACTGTTCGGAGGTATGGGAGAGTAGCGCCCCCAACACCACTCCTGCTCAGCCCATATCCACCTCCCCTTGCCAGAAAATCCATTTTTATTTTACCCCTATCGGAGACAAGAGAATCTAGAACTCCTGCTCTGTTGCGAGCCGCCTTCCAGATGCAACCTGCGCGTTCGCATCCGCGCACTCGATCCGCCAAAACCAGGGCTTGCCGCCCAGTCCCTCACGATGACCACTCCGCAGCTTTCCGTTCCATTCACAGGCCCATCCAATACTGGCTTCGTTATGAACCTGCTGTTCCGAAGCGGACACCTGTCATCCGCGCAGCGGCGCGGCCGGCTGGAAAGCGGCGCGGATGGGGTAGGAGCGAAGCATGCGGGTGTTACCCCGCTTGAGGGGGGTGAACTGTGGAAGGAGAGCGTGCAGCTGCTTACAATACTCTACGGAGATCCCGTGAGCTGTGACGCTACAGAGCCAACGAACATAATTTCACCTGCTCCAGCCGCTTCGCTGTCCAAACCGTACCGAAGATTTGACGATTACGGTACACGAAAGCAATAGTTGGGATCCACAGGAAAATCAGTAGCAACAACAGGCATCCGTCCTCCCTTTCCTCCTCCTCCTCCTCGTTCCTCTCTCTGTCGACGCTCGACCGACCATGGACGCGTTACTCCCCGTCTTCCGCGGCCCAGCGCGGACCCTTCAGGCCACGGCGGATTGCACGGGAGCGTCGCAGCCCTGCCCCGGCGGCCGCGGCGGCTGCGTCGCAACATCGCGCCTGTGCGACGGCGCACCCGACTGCAGCGACGCGAGCGACGAGGGCGTCGATTTCTGCGACGCGCTGCTGTACCCGCTGTACGAGGAGGGCCGCCTCTACTGTCCGACCGGAGGGGGGTGCATGCAGGAATGGGAGGCGTTTTGAGACGTCTGGAAGCTACACTTTCTTTCACAAGGAGGGCAACGTGTGCAACCCCGAGCAGTTCCAGCTCTACTGCCCCAGCGGGCAGCGGGTGCATGCAGGAATTGGAGGCGTGCGACGGCAAGCCCCACTGCGCCGACGGCAGCGACGAGTTGCTCGCGTTCTGCTCGAACTTCGTCTGCGACAACGTTGGGAGGGTGCGTGCTTGTGCTGCTAGCGATCATGTTAGCCGTCACAGCAGTACGGTACTGCTAGCAGCAATCGCGGGATGCCAGACGTGCACTGCATAAACTTTTGATCAATTTTGACAATGTCCAGTTCAGTCGAGGGGAGTTCTCCTAAGAATATTTTTCCCTTACCTTCCATGTGTCCTCATTCGCCGCGCCGTTCTCTCCCCCACTTCCCCCTGTTTTTTGGTCCTCCCTGCCCGTTCTCCCTCCCGCCGCCTGCCGGTTCACTTCCCCCTGTGTTTCCTTCTATCCTGCCCATTCTCTACCTCCCTCTGTGATTTCTTCTTTCCTGCCCGTTATCTCCCCCATCCTGCGCTTCCTTCGTCCTTGCTGATTCGTTCGTTCTGCGCTCACTTCGTCTGTGTGAGTCCTTCACCGCCCTTTCTCTGACAATTGCTGCCCGTTAGTCACTGCCCGTTCTTCCCCCTGCCACGCTGTGATTGTTACTCTACTGCCTGTTTTCTCTCCCCCCTTGTGCTTCATTACTTCCCGGTCTATTTCCCCCTCTATTCTTCCTTCCCTGCCCATTCTAAACCCTCCCCCCTCCCCCCTCCCTCTCGTGCTTCCTCCTTTCCCACCCGTTACCTCCTCTCCCCTATGCTTCTTCTTCCCCCGCCTGTTCTCTCTTCCCCACTCTGGATTTCCTTCTTCTGCCATTCTCACTCCCACCAGGCCTACTGCCCATCAAAGGTCGGCTGCATGCCCCAGGCGCTGACTGCAATGGCGTGGTCGACTGCATGGTGGTGAGGGACGAGCCATGGCTGGCTCATCGTGGCACGCCGTTTTCGAGGTACGCCCTGTTCATGGCTTGCCCAGGAGGACACCTAATGGCTTGTATGTACTTACACACAACATAGTAGATATTCTATGATTCGCATGACATGCCACCTATGCCACGGTGCCTTCATCTGCAGCATTTTATGCGAGTGTGCGAGCTAGCAGCAGAGGCAGCAGCATCAGCAGCATCATTAACGGCCGCGGCAGCAGCAGCAGAAGCAACAGCAGCAGCAGCAGCAGCAGGGGCAAGCGTGTGTAAGTAACGCCGGTGGGTGATGCTGTGGCAGAACGTTTTTAAGGGACAGATTGGACGTGGCAGTTCGAGGGGTCAGTGCGTGGAGCAAACTTAGTGGGGAGAGCATTGATGGGCCAGCAGGGAGAGCACTGATGGGCTAGCAGGCAGAGAAAGCACAGGTGGGCTGGTGGGGAAAACCGCAGTAAGAATGGGGCTTATTATTTAAATTGGAGAGGTGTTCCGCTCACAGCACTGGGGGGAAGCGCATTGCCATGCGAGACAGTCAGGGGCGGACGAGACAAGGGAAAGCACACGTGGGGGGGCGAGGGGGGCTGGGCGGGGGCAGCTGGGAGCGCAGGGGGCTTCGGGAGCCGAGGGGAGCAGCAGCGTGGGAGAGGGGCGGACACTGGGCGCTGCAAAGTGGCAGGTGGGTAGGGCGGAGGCGGGAACGATGGGAAAGGGGAAATGAGTGCGCCGAGGAGCAGTGGAGGATGGTGGAAGGGGAGAAGAAAAGAGGAGGAGTTCCACCACTCGCAGGGCTGCACAGGGAAGGACATGTGATAGTGGGAGGTGGGGAAATGGGCGCCAAAAGACGTATGAGAAAGGAAGGCTGCGGGGACAAGACTGGGATGAGGGGAAGGTGGGGCCATGGGTGGGGGGCAGAAGAGTGGCAAGGGTGGGGCGGGTGGGATGTTGGTCGACCTGGTGAGGGAGAGATAGCAGCACTAGGTCGACCAACAGTACACCAGGTAGCATTGATGGGTTGGGATCAGTGGAGAGGTAGCAGAGATGGTGATGATGGGTTGAGAGTGGTGGAGAAGCTGGGTGGAGAGGAGAGCTGGGGAATGGATTGGGATAACCATGCTGGAGTTAACCGCACAACCGTGCGAGCATGGGTGTATTGCTGCTGAATTTCAGAGAGCTATTAGTCCTTACACCACTTTGACAAGATCAGGAATGAGGTGAGCATGATGCTTACTAGTAAGGGGAGTGATATGGGGTGGTGAGGAGTTACACGTGGTGATGAGGAGTGAGGGGATATGAAATCAAAGTTGATAGTAGGTATCAGAAGCAATTTGATAAGTACAAATAATCTTTCTTACTTGGGCCTGCTCGTTGCTGTTACCTTCACACACTTCCCATGCGACAGAAACTCGCGTATCCACTTCTCCTTTTCCCCTAGTCCCCCTTCTGTTCTCCTCTCCCATTCCTCCCCTTCTTCACCCCCTCTCACCTCCCCATATTGGCCATTCACGTAAAATAGGTGGCTCTGCGCAACAATATGCATCGCATTATCATATCATCTTGTTATAGCCAGGCCAAGGTTTTAGCTCTTGGGTCTCCATTAATCCCCTCTACTTCCCGCCACTCGCCTCACCCCTGTTGCTCTTCCCTGGAATCCCCTTGCCCCGTCAGAACCCACACTGCCCGCCTTTGCACTGCTGCAGCCTGCTCGACCACCTCTCCGCCATGCTCTGTTCCCGAAGGGTATCATATCAGCAACGCTGCACCGCTGCACCGCTGTATCATGTACTGGTAGCTGCACCGCTGCGGCCATATTGTCTGGAAATGACGGCTGTGTTGCAGCTGCGTGTGGTGTAGTGTAAACATATGTTTATGGTATACTGGATGGTGCATTGGTGCTGAGTGTTATGGTGGTTGGACTATCCTATCGGTTAGGTACACTCTACGGATGTCTAGGTGTATGAAAATCTTGGGAGTGCGTAGCATGGAAGGAGTGGTG